TTTATGAAACACTAATGAGGAGTCTTCATTCCTTTTGATTTTTTGTATCTGCTTATTTATTATCTGATTTTATACTAAATACTCCCATTATTATTAAGATATCACGTGTAATATAAAGATTCCGCTTGTTCATTTACACATATAACATCATTCACGAAAGGGAAATGTACAGTTCTACTCGTTTTTTTTTCCACTTGTTGGTTAATGATTATTTGAGTTCTTTAGATCAAAATAACAACCCTTCAAGATAAAATTAAAAATATTACGAAAAAAAAAAAAAAAAAAAAAAAAAACTTGAAGAAACGTACCAATCAATTCAAATGTTAAAAAACCATAACACTAATTTATATGATGAATTTTTCATATCGTTATCAAATCAATTAATAAATCTGCTCTATTTTGATTTTGAATAATTATGCATCCATACTTAATATATAAAAAACTTTTAACTTCTAATTAATTATTTTATTTCTAAAGTAAATGAAAATATAAGCTATATCTCTAACATTAATTTAATATTAAAAACAAAAAGCATTAATTCAAGAACCCTCTACAATTCGAAGCGCCGCAATGACAAGGGATTTTGTCATGTTTGTCAATAGGAAACTATAATTAAAAACAATTTTACGGTTAACAATAATCATGAAATAAATTTAGTAAATCATTCGTTATTGACTTACCTTATAATCATAAGTGATCTCTTCTCCAAATTCAATATCTCGTTTTGCATATATGGCTATCTTTTTCTTCCCTTTAATAGTAAGAATTTTCGCATTACAATTTGGCTATTTTTATCATCATAGAAATGATCAGATTGAAAAATTATTATGATTGGACATTTACTAAAATGACAAATATGGAGACGATTTAATAATTTTAACAACATACATCACACGAGTGATTTATCAACCTTGCATTATTTCCCATCTTGGTGGCATCAATAATGGTATCATCTCCAACACGAAACATATAGCTTCCATCTATACCTTCAGCTTTATATTTTCTTTCCCGAAGATCGGCAACGGCTTGACGTATAAGTTCTCCAGTATATTGAATAACGAATTCACTAGATTTAATACGCTCCAAAGCAAAAAGGCCATAATGATGGATCTTCGATTTTGCAATTGTAAGTTCCTTCTCACGCGCTTTAAGTGGATTGTATAATAAGATATCCGCATCAGTTGCTACATCCTGATACTCTGCCATACGAGATTGAAGTTCACGACGTTTTGCACGTGATGCACGCGAACTCGGAGCCGGTGCTTTATCTGTTGCATAAGAAGTACCGGGTATACCATATGCTACGTACTTGCGCTTCTCTTCCGGAGGTATTTTATAATATCCTTCGGTTCGAGCGCAGCCGGTTTTGTGAGGTCCATCATCTGGTGCGTAATCTTTAAAAGATTCAACGTGATCTAGTAAAGATATTTTATTGATAAATAATATATAATGATAAATTTGATCATGGTTAGTTAATATCGTATATAAATCTTTACTTACCACCTACACGTATAGTAAACTCTTCATTTTCGGACCATTCTATGGGCTCACCATCATTATTCAGTAAGCCTTTCTCGTTTAATTCAAAATAAAGTCGAATCATATCCAAATCATATGCATCAGTAATATCATCACCTGATGTAAGATAATCTCTATCAGTATAATCATCATCGTCATTTGTAGATTCATTGCTTGTATTGTAAAGGTGCGGTTCATAAAGTGTTTGATTATCACTATCACTATTCTCGGAACTAGCTAGATCATTTGAAGAACGATGTATGACAGTTTCTTTTAATTTGCGACTTTGATTTTGTGCTTCCAAGTTAGTCCTGATATTAGAAGTATTTATGCTCTTTTGTTTTCGAACAGTTTTTGCTTTTGCGCTGGATTCAGATATAGAATTATCAGCCTCTTTAATAATATTGTCACTCGTTAAATCAGCATACTTTGACTTGCGTACAACTTTGGATTTTGTCCTGCTTTCAGAAGCACTCCGAATGCTTGATTTGACTTGCTTTTGAGGTGATTTCTTTCGTTGCGACACATGATTTTGGCCCTGTTTCTTTTCATCATTATCAACTTTTTTATTGTCTTCAACCTTATTTGACGCTAAAGAAATATTCTTTGGAAGTAATTTTCCTTTAGCATCTTGTGCTTTCTTTTTCTTCTGCGCACTGGTTTCAGATGAATCAGATGATGACGAATATGAATAATCCCAGTCACTTATATTTGGTTTTCTGTAACCTTCAGAAGGTCTTGAACTTGGTTGTGGTTTGCTTGGATAACTTTTAAGTTTCGTTAGTCGATTAACATTTGTATATTTATCAATAGATTCGACCTTTGACGTACTAACCCTTTGTGCCGACTTTTTTAAATTCAAGCCAAACGCACTTCTATCTTCGTCAAATTTGGAAATATGAGAAAATTCCAGTCGTTTTGTCGACATGGAATTTGAATTTACGGAATCTTTATTTTCATTTTGAATATTATTCCTTGATTCATTAACGGAATGTGATTTTGATGAGTTATCTTTATTAAGCTGGGATCTTTTCCGAAATTTCGTGTGATCTCTAGACGAAAACTCCGAAGAACTCTTTGGACCATCGAGCTTCTTATCGACATCTGCCCAGAAATCACGCGTCTCACTGATTTTCTTTTCTTCTGCTTTCTTATCACCACCATGAGCCTCTTTATACATGTCACGACCACTACGAACCATGTCATGATCATTGCTACGATAAACATTATCACGTGCGTTAGAACGATCATGGGTTCGACACATATCACGATCATGACTGCGAGAACTGTCGCGTTTATAACTTTGAATTGAATCGCGATCTCGATTACGAACGGGTTCATGATTACGACTGCGTCCAAAATCACGATCGCGACTCCTTGGTTGACTACCGCTTCCGATAGGACTTCTGCCTCGACTTCGGCTACGACTTTTCTCTACATTAAGATTGTTTCTAATAAATCTTTCTCTAGAAGAATTACGCCTTCTCCTTTCTTGATTTAAATGTCTACTACGATCATTACTATAATCAGGTATATATTGATCATAAGAACGCTTAGAGGGGACAACCGTGGGTATACTATAATCCAAATGTTGCGAATCAAGAGAATACTTTTCAAACCATTTTCCTTTTTCTCTAGATGATGAATGTCCACTAGCAGGTCCATATGACTCCTCTTCATAGGTTGAGTCAATTTCACCTTCCTCCTTATCATCGTCGATCGGTCTTTTCGGTGGCAATTCGAACTTTTGTTCAATCTTTTCGGGTGAAACGCGCGAGTCTTTAGAATGAACTTTATTAGAAGTCGAAGGCGTAGTCTTCCTCTTGGTCTTATCTAATAGGACCGAAGTTTGTAATGTACTTTGGACTTTAGTGACAAGAACTGAAACAATAACAGCAGGTGGTGATGGTGCATCCCCTATTTCCATATCATCGTCATTAGGTAATGGTGTCGGGGACGGTTCGCTGAATTTGTTACTGACAGAGGGTTCTAATGAATTTTGACTTTCAGCAATTATCATTTCAGCGGCCGTTTTTATTTTTGAACCTACAACAAAAAGGTATTGTAAATAAATTTCAATTAAATAAAATTTTTTTTTTTTTTTTTAAAAAAAAAAAAGAAAAGAAAAACTAATTTAACAAACCATCATTATCAAGTTCTAATTTTATGGGTGGACCATTAAATAATGATTTTCCATTAAATTTGAATATTGAGTCTCTAGCCGAAATCAGTGCATCACCGTTATTTTCCCCATAAAATGTTAATCTAGCTAGTCCGAGACTATCATTATGAATTGGATTGTTCTCAATTTTGCAATAAATTACATTTCCACACTCCTCAAATTGCACCCGAAGTTGACTTTCAGTTACGAATTTATCAAGTTGAGATATAAATATTGAAGCTTCCTTAGGTTGATTTGCATTATTATCGCTCTTTTACGTGTTAAAGAGATTAAAATATATAAGTTTACATATATGATTATAACAAAAGGAAAATGAATTGAAAAGGATAAATTACCACCTCATATTTTAGGATGTGTAAAATCTTCAAATATCGCTGCCTTTTTCCATTAACGCGCCTACCATAACCACGTAAAGGGCCGCGCGGATCTGACATAGAATACCTTCGTAGCTAACGTATAAAACTGTTAACATAAATTGGAAAATTAAACATTACAAGAAAAATTAAAACGTTGTGTTTATTAGAACTGAGACCGACTTGATCACCATTTCGAGTAAGACTTATTCTTCTTTGCAATGTTTCGGGTGTAAGTTTAGGATCGTGAAGTATAATAAAATCTTGATCGTCTTTCCGATCGTCTTCCTGAACACCTTGTTGAACATGTGAAGCAGCTGGTGCGGAAAAAGATCTAATACGTGGCTTGTAATGCCTTAGAAGGAGTCTAGATTTATTATCTACTTCAAGAATTGGAAAATATTCTGGAAACGTCTCGATGTCAAATCGTGACTCCGGATTCGAATGCTCCATTTACAAAACCAACTTGGAGAAAGTAGATTAATACCAAACAAGTTGGATGTTTAAAAATAACAATTATGGGATGCATCATCATGCAATTGTATGCATTGTAAGGAGTCCGTGCACTCTAATCAATTATGCAATCAATCGACAAATAAAACCAAAAAAATAAACCGAAATTAAAACTCGAAAATAATATGAAGAACTGTTCAAACAACAAAGACATACCTATCGAGGTGATATACTAACTGGAATTATTGTTCCCCCCCTTCCAAATTATCCAAATAATAAAAAAAAAGATTTAACACCTTCGTTACTATATAGAAAATTAGAGAATACAACTGTGTGTATAAACCTTCAACATGGGAATCGAGAATTGTGCTTCTATATGATGTTGTTTACTCCCAATTCACTGAATGGAATAATGAACCATGCTCATTTTATACGATTGAATGGGGAGATGTGCCAAGAAAAAGATCAAGGCAGGAAGAAGAGGAATCTTTATATTACACGTGATATCTTAATAATAATGGGAAAAGTTCATATGGGGTGTAACTTTGAAGTGAATTAACTTCTAAACTAGTTCGATTTCCTTCCACATCAAATATTGGGAGACATTCATAAATACGAGTCATAACTTCCCAATTATCAGTGCTAGAATTTCCGTAAAGACATGCAAGAGCTACCCTAGCAAGATCTTCATCAGAAGTGATAATTCGTTCTTCTATATTAAAAACCGGTTTAGATGCTTCAAAAATGGTACAACTTAATTCTAAATTGGATAATGAAATATTCAAAATATAATTATAGAGCAGGCTCATCGGTTCGCTTTCTGGATTCGAAATTGATACTTTATCATTGGAATCGTCTTTAAGAATGTGATTTAATCGAGCACGGCGAGCAGGTAACAGTCTTAAAAAGGGGATGATGAAATTTTTAATGTCATTAACAATCCGTTTTTCGTTAGTATGTTGAAGAAAAACTTGAACAATTTCGGCTTCAGTCAACGCTTCAAATTCTTTCAATGACATACTTTTACTAACTGATTCTAAATCTGGATAGCAATCGTAAACGAGCTTAGCCAACATATCTAGGTTTTCTTCCAATGTCTCCAGATTCACTACTTTTTTTTTGATTCCGTGACGAACAAGTATGAGAGCTTTATCAACTTGCCCCGAAACACTATCAATTCTATGAGCACGATCAATATACCAATTTGTAATTAGAGTTGATCGGGCCGGATATTCGACTGGTTTTAATCTTATCCCTCCAACATCTGATTCTTTTGATAAATCTAATTCGGGTAAAATTCGCTTTTTCAATATTGGGTTATCGACCCAATCTATATCTCTCCAAGGTTGCTCATTCCACGAACATTCAACAAGATCACCATTATTACCATTTGAAGTAACGCTAGGTAAGAAGGATTCATACTCATCAGGATCAGCTGTTTCCGGAATCTGCTCAAGGATTGTGAAGCGATAAGGTAAAGTTTCAGGTCCGTGACGGGTAAATAGAATGTTTAAACCCTTGAAAAATTCTTCAGTTGCATAATCCATAGCTAGAGCCGCAATGTTCAAATCACGAAATACGGCGTAATCTTCAGCAAACGTTGAGGTATAATCAACAAAAGTAATCCAACCGTCATTTTCTTCTGCAAAATCCTTCATGGTTCTATTTTCAATATCATGTTTTGTTTTCTCTTCGATAATATTCTCATATGTGCGTAAACGGTCCAAATATTTTAGAAAATAATGTCTATATTGACATATAATGACATCTTTTTCAGATATTTGTAAATTTCCCAGAAAATCTTCCATCTTGGAGTTTACTTCGAATGGACGTTCACGCAATGATTTAATTATTTCATCCTTATTATATGAAGTTCCATTATTTAAAATTTCTACCAAAATATCTGTGTCTTTCAAACCATAATTCAATAAGAGTCTTAGCAAATCAGGGGTATTACTGAACGTATGTATGCAAGCAGAAAGTACCCATTCTCTATCGCGGATTTTATCAAGGTAATCATGAATTGCAGCTTCAGAAACTTCGGCATCTTTCCATCGGGCCTGGTATATAATATCTGTATCCAGATCATAAGTTTCAGCTATCACCAATGCATCATCGTAATCTAACGCGTTTATCTTACGATTTAATAATTCTTGAGGCAAAATTTTGGAGATACGGTTAAGACAATACGTCTTTCTAGAGACTGTTATGATTTTCCCACGAGATTCTGAAGGATCATTTTCAAAATGCCACAAGAGAGTATCAGTCACATGATGTAAATAATTCGCTAAAACACTTATTAATCTGCTTAATTGAGATTCAGATTCATCAGATTCATCATCTTCCATATCGCCTTCTTCCTGTTCCCTTGAATATCGAACAAACCCATCATTAATCATTCGAGCTTTAACAGCTTTGACTTCATGTTCAATGACAAGAAAACGATCACTACATTGACTAGTAATCTCACGACAAGATTTAAAAGATTCCGGAGATTCACCCAATATGTTGATCATTTCTGGAAGACAGGCAATAATCATTGAACCATATTGGTAACCTAAAATGATGGCATTATCTGACCACCAACCAATTGATACAACTTTTCCATTATCAAATCCGGGAATACCAGCAATTATACCACCCTCACTCTCGATTTCCAAAATTTTGTCAATAAACACTTCTAACGACAAATCCTTAAACTCTTTACCCCTAGCAAAATAATTAAGTTCAGGTTGATCCCAAGATTTATTTAACTCAAGCCCTTTGTTTAAAGATAAGTTCCATAATTTTACTGTACCAGAAAAGTCTAAAGTTAATAAATTCTGTTGATTAGGAGACAACACCGTATTGAGAATAATTTCGTCAGTGAAAAGTTTGTTGGTATTACGCCAGGTTGAAAAAATATTTATTAAACGATAAAAGAACCCAGAATCATCGACCGTTCCCTGGTCTAAATGTAATACATCATCTATGGAACCGTCATCTGAACCTTCCAATTCAAGTTTTCGATAAAATGGTCTTTCCGGCAATAACATCCAGCATGTAACGGAAGGTGATGTTGAATCATCTTTATTCTCAAAACTTGATTTACCACCAAGGCATAATACTAATCCATTCCAAGTTACAACGGCACCACACGTAATAGTAGATAACCATTGCTTAAATGAAAATTTATGATAAAAGGCAAAATAACCAGGGTCGGAAGGTCCTTCACGTGAATAAGTCATATTGGATCTTGTATGACGCGAAGCTTCTTTGATGTCTGTAAATGCTGATTCTACCGTATTAATTAAATAGCTACGTAAAATACCATCAAAGGTGACTACTAATAATTCATACTGGTACGAATATCCGTCAAATAAAGATGTGCTATTTAAACCGCGTTTCGGATCAACAAAATATAAAAATGCTACCGGCTCGAGGAAAAAACTTGATCCACCCTGTGCATCTTTCTCACCATCAGAGTTAATGTTGGTGCTAGATAATATGACACAAACCAATCCCCCATTTTCATCAATGATTTCAATTGTTCCATCGCTTCTTGCAACTGCTAAAATTTTAGAATCCGGACTCCATGACAATCGTCTCCACTTTGGAAAAGTATCTCTCCTAGAAATAAAAATCGAATGATTCGTTTCGAATCCACTTTTACTTGTTCGTATTTCTATTTTGTGATCACTCGACACGGCTAGATATAAACCATTAGGTGATAGCTGCATAATTATCTCAGAAGTTACTTTTGGACGTGCCTGGATAAGCGCACGTGGTACCGTAGTAGAAATTGCAAGTTTTTCTAGACTACGAACAAGGCGATGCGTAACTTGTTTAAACATACTCCTCGGTATCTGGGAATAAGAAGGATCATTCGGGTTGGTGTGTAATTTAACTTGGGAATTAGCTTCTTGGTCTCCTAATTCATCTTCTGGTTTCCAAACAGCGACTACATCTATATCATAAAGTATTCGTTCTGTGGGATTTTTTGTTGAATTTGTTTGTATTGCCATCGTCATAAGAATTTAAAATTACTAAAAAATGCCACATTTAACTTACAATACACTCCAGATCTTGTGAAACTTTATCTGTTAATAACTAACACTAAAATTGGATCAAGAATTTCTCCATTAGGCAACACGTAACTGTTGTGACAGTTTAAAAGGCTTTCTCACTTTCTACCCATATAATTATGAGTTTAAATAAAAGTTGCTGCGTCAGCATTTTTGATAAATGTGTAATAAATAGATTTGAATAATTTTGCAGCGAGTTAAGGAATTGAAATTAAAGTTAGTGGGGAGAACATTGGAAAACGATCAAAGAAAAAAAAATGAGGTGGAAGGCCGGGCATCGAATAAGTTGAAAATTGGTAAGCTAATCAATCGTATCACTATCAATATTTCATGTTTTAATTTTTATTAGAGAATCAATTAAACCTGATAATAATGAAGAGATATAGATATCATTTGAACATTTGTTTGAAGAATTGAAGGTAATATAAAACCTTTAGTAGTTAATTCTTACAACTCATAAGAAAATCTTAGGTTCAAACTATTTTGACAACTTTCTCAACTGAAACGACACGATCTTATATTATTTTTTAGTTTTATCTACTGCATCATCTTTTTAGGTATCAGATGTAAGTAATACAGAATTTATATCGTTCGATTATAGGATCAATATTCTTGAATTTATGAAACACTAATGAGGAGTCTTCATTCCTTTTGATTTTTTGTATCTGCTTATTTATTATCTGATTTTATACTAAATACTCCCATTATTATTAAGATATCACGTGTAATATAAAGATTCCGCTTGTTCATTTACACATATAACATCATTCACGAAAGGGAAATGTACAGTTCTACTCGTTTTTTTTTCCACTTGTTGGTTAATGATTATTTGAGTTCTTTAGATCAAAATAACAACCCTTCAAGATAAAATTAAAAATATTACGAAAAAAAAAAAAAAAAAAAAAAAAAACTTGAAGAAACGTACCAATCAATTCAAATGTTAAAAAACCATAACACTAATTTATATGATGAATTTTTCATATCGTTATCAAATCAATTAATAAATCTGCTCTATTTTGATTTTGAATAATTATGCATCCATACTTAATATATAAAAAACTTTTAACTTCTAATTAATTATTTTATTTCTAAAGTAAATGAAAATATAAGCTATATCTCTAACATTAATTTAATATTAAAAACAAAAAGCATTAATTCAAGAACCCTCTACAATTCGAAGCGCCGCAATGACAAGGGATTTTGTCATGTTTGTCAATAGGAAACTATAATTAAAAACAATTTTACGGTTAACAATAATCATGAAATAAATTTAGTAAATCATTCGTTATTGACTTACCTTATAATCATAAGTGATCTCTTCTCCAAATTCAATATCTCGTTTTGCATATATGGCTATCTTTTTCTTCCCTTTAATAGTAAGAATTTTCGCATTACAATTTGGCTATTTTTATCATCATAGAAATGATCAGATTGAAAAATTATTATGATTGGACATTTACTAAAATGACAAATATGGAGACGATTTAATAATTTTAACAACATACATCACACGAGTGATTTATCAACCTTGCATTATTTCCCATCTTGGTGGCATCAATAATGGTATCATCTCCAACACGAAACATATAGCTTCCATCTATACCTTCAGCTTTATATTTTCTTTCCCGAAGATCGGCAACGGCTTGACGTATAAGTTCTCCAGTATATTGAATAACGAATTCACTAGATTTAATACGCTCCAAAGCAAAAAGGCCATAATGATGGATCTTCGATTTTGCAATTGTAAGTTCCTTCTCACGCGCTTTAAGTGGATTGTATAATAAGATATCCGCATCAGTTGCTACATCCTGATACTCTGCCATACGAGATTGAAGTTCACGACGTTTTGCACGTGATGCACGCGAACTCGGAGCCGGTGCTTTATCTGTTGCATAAGAAGTACCGGGTATACCATATGCTACGTACTTGCGCTTCTCTTCCGGAGGTATTTTATAATATCCTTCGGTTCGAGCGCAGCCGGTTTTGTGAGGTCCATCATCTGGTGCGTAATCTTTAAAAGATTCAACGTGATCTAGTAAAGATATTTTATTGATAAATAATATATAATGATAAATTTGATCATGGTTAGTTAATATCGTATATAAATCTTTACTTACCACCTACACGTATAGTAAACTCTTCATTTTCGGACCATTCTATGGGCTCACCATCATTATTCAGTAAGCCTTTCTCGTTTAATTCAAAATAAAGTCGAATCATATCCAAATCATATGCATCAGTAATATCATCACCTGATGTAAGATAATCTCTATCAGTATAATCATCATCGTCATTTGTAGATTCATTGCTTGTATTGTAAAGGTGCGGTTCATAAAGTGTTTGATTATCACTATCACTATTCTCGGAACTAGCTAGATCATTTGAAGAACGATGTATGACAGTTTCTTTTAATTTGCGACTTTGATTTTGTGCTTCCAAGTTAGTCCTGATATTAGAAGTATTTATGCTCTTTTGTTTTCGAACAGTTTTTGCTTTTGCGCTGGATTCAGATATAGAATTATCAGCCTCTTTAATAATATTGTCACTCGTTAAATCAGCATACTTTGACTTGCGTACAACTTTGGATTTTGTCCTGCTTTCAGAAGCACTCCGAATGCTTGATTTGACTTGCTTTTGAGGTGATTTCTTTCGTTGCGACACATGATTTTGGCCCTGTTTCTTTTCATCATTATCAACTTTTTTATTGTCTTCAACCTTATTTGACGCTAAAGAAATATTCTTTGGAAGTAATTTTCCTTTAGCATCTTGTGCTTTCTTTTTCTTCTGCGCACTGGTTTCAGATGAATCAGATGATGACGAATATGAATAATCCCAGTCACTTATATTTGGTTTTCTGTAACCTTCAGAAGGTCTTGAACTTGGTTGTGGTTTGCTTGGATAACTTTTAAGTTTCGTTAGTCGATTAACATTTGTATATTTATCAATAGATTCGACCTTTGACGTACTAACCCTTTGTGCCGACTTTTTTAAATTCAAGCCAAACGCACTTCTATCTTCGTCAAATTTGGAAATATGAGAAAATTCCAGTCGTTTTGTCGACATGGAATTTGAATTTACGGAATCTTTATTTTCATTTTGAATATTATTCCTTGATTCATTAACGGAATGTGATTTTGATGAGTTATCTTTATTAAGCTGGGATCTTTTCCGAAATTTCGTGTGATCTCTAGACGAAAACTCCGAAGAACTCTTTGGACCATCGAGCTTCTTATCGACATCTGCCCAGAAATCACGCGTCTCACTGATTTTCTTTTCTTCTGCTTTCTTATCACCACCATGAGCCTCTTTATACATGTCACGACCACTACGAACCATGTCATGATCATTGCTACGATAAACATTATCACGTGCGTTAGAACGATCATGGGTTCGACACATATCACGATCATGACTGCGAGAACTGTCGCGTTTATAACTTTGAATTGAATCGCGATCTCGATTACGAACGGGTTCATGATTACGACTGCGTCCAAAATCACGATCGCGACTCCTTGGTTGACTACCGCTTCCGATAGGACTTCTGCCTCGACTTCGGCTACGACTTTTCTCTACATTAAGATTGTTTCTAATAAATCTTTCTCTAGAAGAATTACGCCTTCTCCTTTCTTGATTTAAATGTCTACTACGATCATTACTATAATCAGGTATATATTGATCATAAGAACGCTTAGAGGGGACAACCGTGGGTATACTATAATCCAAATGTTGCGAATCAAGAGAATACTTTTCAAACCATTTTCCTTTTTCTCTAGATGATGAATGTCCACTAGCAGGTCCATATGACTCCTCTTCATAGGTTGAGTCAATTTCACCTTCCTCCTTATCATCGTCGATCGGTCTTTTCGGTGGCAATTCGAACTTTTGTTCAATCTTTTCGGGTGAAACGCGCGAGTCTTTAGAATGAACTTTATTAGAAGTCGAAGGCGTAGTCTTCCTCTTGGTCTTATCTAATAGGACCGAAGTTTGTAATGTACTTTGGACTTTAGTGACAAGAACTGAAACAATAACAGCAGGTGGTGATGGTGCATCCCCTATTTCCATATCATCGTCATTAGGTAATGGTGTCGGGGACGGTTCGCTGAATTTGTTACTGACAGAGGGTTCTAATGAATTTTGACTTTCAGCAATTATCATTTCAGCGGCCGTTTTTATTTTTGAACCTACAACAAAAAGGTATTGTAAATAAATTTCAATTAAATAAAATTTTTTTTTTTTTTTTTAAAAAAAAAAAAGAAAAGAAAAACTAATTTAACAAACCATCATTATCAAGTTCTAATTTTATGGGTGGACCATTAAATAATGATTTTCCATTAAATTTGAATATTGAGTCTCTAGCCGAAATCAGTGCATCACCGTTATTTTCCCCATAAAATGTTAATCTAGCTAGTCCGAGACTATCATTATGAATTGGATTGTTCTCAATTTTGCAATAAATTACATTTCCACACTCCTCAAATTGCACCCGAAGTTGACTTTCAGTTACGAATTTATCAAGTTGAGATATAAATATTGAAGCTTCCTTAGGTTGATTTGCATTATTATCGCTCTTTTACGTGTTAAAGAGATTAAAATATATAAGTTTACATATATGATTATAACAAAAGGAAAATGAATTGAAAAGGATAAATTACCACCTCATATTTTAGGATGTGTAAAATCTTCAAATATCGCTGCCTTTTTCCATTAACGCGCCTACCATAACCACGTAAAGGGCCGCGCGGATCTGACATAGAATACCTTCGTAGCTAACGTATAAAACTGTTAACATAAATTGGAAAATTAAACATTACAAGAAAAATTAAAACGTTGTGTTTATTAGAACTGAGACCGACTTGATCACCATTTCGAGTAAGACTTATTCTTCTTTGCAATGTTTCGGGTGTAAGTTTAGGATCGTGAAGTATAATAAAATCTTGATCGTCTTTCCGATCGTCTTCCTGAACACCTTGTTGAACATGTGAAGCAGCTGGTGCGGAAAAAGATCTAATACGTGGCTTGTAATGCCTTAGAAGGAGTCTAGATTTATTATCTACTTCAAGAATTGGAAAATATTCTGGAAACGTCTCGATGTCAAATCGTGACTCCGGATTCGAATGCTCCATTTACAAAACCAACTTGGAGAAAGTAGATTAATACCAAACAAGTTGGATGTTTAAAAATAACAATTATGGGATGCATCATCATGCAATTGTATGCATTGTAAGGAGTCCGTGCACTCTAATCAATTATGCAATCAATCGACAAATAAAACCAAAAAAATAAACCGAAATTAAAACTCGAAAATAATATGAAGAACTGTTCAAACAACAAAGACATACCTATCGAGGTGATATACTAACTGGAATTATTGTTCCCCCCCTTCCAAATTATCCAAATAATAAAAAAAAAGATTTAACACCTTCGTTACTATATAGAAAATTAGAGAATACAACTGTGTGTATAAACCTTCAACATGGGAATCGAGAATTGTGCTTCTATATGATGTTGTTTACTCCCAATTCACTGAATGGAATAATGAACCATGCTCATTTTATACGATTGAATGGGGAGATGTGCCAAGAAAAAGATCAAGGCAGGAAGAAGAGGAATCTCAATTTATGCTCTACAGTGGTATTTACTTTTGTTTATCTCAGAGAGTTTTTCATTTCTGTTGAATATACAAATACGTCTAATGTTCTACTTAGCAACTAATATGGCTCGAAGTACGAGTTCTGCTGAAGCATATCTAAGTATAATAAAATGCCAATTATATCCGGAAGGTAGCCCATTGAATTATGATCTAGTTAACTCAATTCAATCATCAGATAGAGCAAAAGCAAAACGTTGTGAAGTAAGTTCAATGTTCCACCTTATTTGATTTTTTGTAATTAACGTTAAAAGCAATTATTTTTTGAAATAAAGAATATGAATTTTTGTCAACGAATTTCACATCACGAACCTGGCTCACTTCAACAAGCGAGGTATAACTTTAGAATCAATAAAAATTTCTTTTATGAATTTTTTTTTAAATATATATATATATATATATATAGGCTTTTAACTTCGCAAAAGATCGTTACAAGCGGAAAGCAATTTATTTATGTATGGGATTTGAAAAATACGTCAATTCTTTCTGAGGATAAAAGGTATAATTATTCTCATAATCATAAAACTTTATTAAAGATCAAGATCATAATCTCTTTTGGTCTATTCAGACCTACTGCACAAATTAAGTTGGCCTCTAAAGAAAACTCGTCAATCGGACCAGCATTATGTGTTGCCAAGAATAGACAAATAGTTGTTAACGGTAGTGAGTAAGACAACAATTCATAATGTGAAGAATGAGATTTTCTATATATTTAACGCGCCTCGATTTCACTTTTTTTTTTTAGCCGAGAATGGATATTTGACTTTATGGGATTTGACTGATTATCAAACAAGTTCAAATCAAATATGTATATAAATATGGTTCATATTTGCTTTTTTTTCTTGCATATTTTGCTAATTTTTGTAGTATTTTTGTTTCTTTCATTACCTCAGCACTCCTTCCTAAATATAATTATCAAGTTTTTTCGGATTCTTCAAATAGAATCCTATCGTGTGATTATAAAGAAGATAGTACAAATATATCATGTACTTCAAGTCAAGGAAATGTGATAATTTGGGATTATCGTACGAATAAATTAGCTCAAAATGTAAGTCGAATTCATTTAATATATAAATCATTTTAATTTTAAAATGATAACGAATGTCTGATTTACAGGTGGCAAAAGCACATAGAGTAGCAGCTACGAGCTGTCACATGAACCCTCATAAAGAACATTCTCTTCTAACATCAAGTGCGGATGGTATTATTGAATGGTGGGATACGCGGAAGATGAAGAGCGTTTTCTCTTCATCAGTAAATATTCATACTTTCATTTAATTAAAGTTGTGATTAAAAGTACTTTTTGAATCATTGAATTAATTTTTTTTTTTTTTGCTTTACGAAGCCAACTTCGTTATCTACTTTTAAGCAACACCAACGATCTGTAAACAAAGTGGTTTGGTCACCTCACAACAGTGGGTTATTTGCCAGTTGTTCGGATGATTGTAGTGTTATCATTTGGAATACCGAAGTAAATAATGAGTTTTTCATCATTTAATTATTACAAATGCTTCAGATTATATTTTCTTTTTAGGTTATTAATAAAAACAAAAACGATAAACAAGAAGGCGCGAAATTTAAGCACACCGGACATAGGTTAATATTACAAAAAAAAAAAAAAAATAAGATAAAATCTCACTATTTACGAAATCGTTCATCTTATTTGTAACCTTAGGCAAAAGGTGTCGGATATTGCATGGCATCCTGATCCAGAATTTAGCAAAACCATCGCTTCCGTTTCTCCTTTTGAACCCCATTCAAATGATCGAGGTATTGCCGGACTACTTCAAGGTTAAAAAATTACAAAATTTCCCGTCGTTTTATTTAATAAAATCAACAACCTATTAACTTAATTAAATCATCATGTTTAGTATGGAGACCAAGTATGAATATTGATTTGATGAATTAAATGAATAACGTTTTCGGGACAAGGTACGCCTATAGTTAATAATAATTAAAATTTAATCATTTATTGATTTGAAACTCTTTCTTTTATGTCCTAAGGTGTAAGATGAGAATAAATATTTTGTTTATAATGAAATATTTTAATCAATATACAGGATTTGTAAGAAAGGCTTTGATAGTTTATACTCTTCCGATGGTTGTTGATGAACCTTTTTCATCGATCATGCCAAATGCAACCAAGATTCCAGTTTTATATCTTCTAATAGATCCAATTATCATTAAAATGAAAACTAACCCCACTAAAATTATAAACCAATTTGATGAAAGGTCTTGTAGTCTTTGATCCAAAGAAATTGTATCCCAAGTATCGAGAGGTGGCAAATTGTTTGTTTCTAAATCATCATCGTCAGGATATGAAGTCTAAATAAACGAAAAAAAAAAAAAAAAAAAAAAAAAAAAAAGAGGAAGGAATAAACTAGTATAAACATTATAAACACTTTTTTTTCTTTTAGCAACAAAAAATTTTTATTATTATTTTAAAATAATATTATACAATTCTCTTCGGATGTATTAAAAAAAATTTTTTTTTTTAACACGATTATAATTCTACGTGATATGGTTGTTCACTTTCCTTAATTGGAATTTCACCACTATCGACAATAGTCACACTCTCTTTTGGTCTGTCTTGAGGTCCTTTTTCGACGTTTTCAATTTTGTGTACAATATCCATTCCTTCCAAAACATATCCAAAGACTACATGACGTCCATCAAGCCATGATGTTTTTACAGTAGTGATGAAAAACTAAAATTTAAGAAAATTAGTTATAAGTAAAAAAAAATAGCAAACTAGTTGATAACAACGCTTACTTGTGAACCGTTTGTATCAGTTCCAGCATTTGCCATACTCAAAACACCAGGTCCAGTATGACGAAGTTTGAAGTTCTCATCTGCGAATTTTTCACCATAGATGGATTTACCACCTGTTCCATCTCCTTTTGTGAAATCTCCACCTTGAATCATAAAATCCTATAAAAATAGATTAGGTTCGGCTTAAATCCGAAGGAATAATGTAAGTTCAAATTAAACATTTTAATATACCTTTATGACACGGTGAAAGGATGAACCTTTATATCCAAATCCTTTCTCTCCGGTGGCCAATGCGCGAAAATTCTCAACTGTCTTGGGAACAGTCTGGTATATAATAAAATCATAAGAATCATTCAAATATTTGAACATTATTATGAAATAATTTACGGTACCTTTCCATATAACCCAATGACAATACGTCCTAAATCTTTATCACCATGTTTGATATCAAAGAATACTTTTATATTTCGGAGAAACGAAAATATAGAAATGAAACGTTAAATATTTTATATCTTTAAAAGCAGCAAAAGCTCGTTAATAAAGAATTCTAGATGTCCACCTTTATTTGTTATAACCGGTCCCTTCGCTGCTATAACTACAGTAACCAAACACAGACTAACAAACAATAATTTCAAAAGTGATAAACGAGTTTTCATTTTAAAATTTTATATCGAGCTTAAAGTTGAACGATAAATAATTTAAAAAGAACAATTTTATTTGTACAACGGAACCACAATGAATTTTTAAATAATTTAAAATGTATGAAAAAATTAACGTCGATCGATCAAAATCATGAATACATTTCGATAGGTATATATAAAAAAGAAACCAAGAAGCTTATGGCATTCCATTTTCCACAAAATTTATTTTAAAAGACTACCGCTACGTAAATTTGCTAAAAATAAATTCGGAATCAGGGTATATAGCAACTTGTATATTATGGTTTTTATACTGTAGTAGCAAGTATGAAAAAAAAAAAAAAACCATACACAAGGTGTAATATCATATCAAATAGGTTTAATTTTGTTTATTTCGTGGTAATAAATAATTGGAAGCATGGTATCACAATATAAACCCCTGGGTTGATCGTTGGACAAGGAGTTGGTGATTAAGAATGAAGGCAAATCTTCCCTCCCTATATGAAACGCATAGAAATACTACAACTTTTGTTCTTGCTCTCATTGAATGTTTTATTCATCGCGAGGCAGCATCCTTTTTTAACAAACAATTTGCAAAATTACTCTTTTTGTTTATTTCATTTTCTCAAAAGGCCAAAAAGTTTGCTGTCCCTAAGCGGTGACGACATACATGTTATTTAACGAATTAAATGATGATGATTTCAAACCTTTCAATGACTCTTCGTCGAACCATTTTAATTTCGATAACTCTCTATCTATTTCTTCCATTCGTTTTAAGTTCGGGGAATAATCCTTATTTTGATCCAAAAATTCCATCATGTGTTGCCTGTGAAAAAGAATACCCTTCCATCGATTCATGTACGGAATCAAGTGAAATTTTTCAAAATGCTTCTTATGTTTTATTTGATCCTCTACAATTGATTGATGCAATTCGTTGTTCTTGCACTGACACGTTCTTATCCGTATATGTAAGTTTATAATCTCACTTCGTTTTTTTGGGGAGGAATATTCATTTAATAATACATGTACTATTAAAAATTTTTCAGCCGCTTTGTGTAGAATGTTTTCGAAGAACAGGTCAGCCGGATACCTTATTGAATACAGAAGTTCCTCCAACGATAGAAAAGATTAGAGGAATTTGTCAGACTATGAGTGCAACAAATGGAAATGCTAGTAATTATGATGCTACGGCTACGGTGACCCCTTTAAGTCCATCCGATCGCCCTTGGATGGATTCTGCTAATTCGTTTAAAGGGATATTATGGCTCATAAATTTCATCGTGTTCATTTCAACAGGCATGTTATTATTACAATGTTTGGATTAATAAGAAATGTTTCTTAGATGACAATTTGATGTATTTATTAGTGAAAGTTATTTGTATCTTACAGTATAGCCTATTGTTCATTCTTTAATTTATTCTCACATCATGTAATTTTATTATTTATATTGCTACAACAAAAAAAAAAATATAAATATTTATGCCGTAAAAATGTAATGTTATTTCGAAATAACTTTAATGATAAATTATCTTCATGAACGCTTATATAAATAACCCTTGCTTATTAATTTTCTTTGAAAATTCACATTCCATACATCATTGAAGATACCATGTATAAATTACTTGGTCATGTTAATTGATTTTGGAGATATATAAAAATATGATAAAAAGTTATGTTAAAAAATTAAATATTTGATTAAGAAATGTAATTTTTCGTTGCTTTACCCAAATATAAAAATGATTATTGACTATGCTTAATTCATTTAACGTTTAAGTATAGAGCTTATTTAGCAAGTCAACCTCCAACGGATCTATTTTTTAATTTTTTGGGCCAACTTGATCTTCTAAAAACCTCATTCTGTTATTTTAGAATTATTTAACACGATCGTAATTTTTCAGAAATTTTTAAATCGGTTTTCTAAAGAAGGTTGGCTGTTTTTAAATCTCTTCAATAATCGTAATATATTCATTATTTTGCTACTATCCATTATCTGATTAATCGTCTACTATTTATTATGTAACACATCAAGACAACTTGAAAACTACCAAAGCTACCTCTATATATATTATCTTAAGGACCAAATCCATATTTACGCATCAAGAACTTAACCCAAATCTTTCAACCCATCAGCTTTATCTAAACGGAATTAGTCAAGAGAAGTGCATGAATTTTAGTAATGGTCAATGAGTTGAGAATAGTCATAGGATGTTTGGGGTAATCGGATATTGTTTGTAATTTTTAATTACAAAAAAAACGAAATCAATGTATGTAAATAATATAAAAATTATGAAATAAAAATATCAGATATTAATTATCCTCTCAGCTCTCTTATTAACTTTAAAAATAAATATAAAATTCATAATTCCTATTCTTCATAATAAACATAAATTTTATCGTACAAAACATATTTTATATGTATGCATACATACCAGTCGGACCTTTAAATAGTCACACCCTATATAAGCACACCTCTTTATAATCACTCGATTTTGCCAATAAATTTCCAGGAGAGACTGTTTAGGCGGTGATGTGCATGGAAGATTAGAAGCTATTGGAATCTTCCAATTCTTCCAATTCCAAGTCTTCCAATGCCAATAGATTTTTATTGGAAGATTGGAAGCACTTTAAGCACGTGATTTATAATTATCCAATAAAATTAAATCATATAATAATATATAAAAATCTGAAATTTATTTATTAAATTTTATATAAGTCATCTTTTTTTATAGTAATAGGCTTTAAAACTACTAAAAAAGTTGATTTTAAGGAAGTATGCTTATATAAAAGTTTTTTAAATTTTTTAAATTTTTCAAAAATTTTATAAAAACATATACAATATTATTTTTTTAAACTATTTTTTTGTTATATTTAAATTTAAGTAACTAAAAACACTAGTAACTAAACTAAATAAAGTTCTAAGTTTTCATTTTGCTTTATATCAATTGCTAGATGTATATATTCCCTTAAAAGATCACCTTTTAAACTACCTTGATCATCTCTTATAGCTTTTTCTTCTTCTAATCAGAATCTCTCTTCTTCTTTTAACATTAATTTCTATTAAGCAAGTTCCCTTTCCTAATGATCAAAAGTAATAATACTACTTTTATCTCCAATGATATCATATAAATTTGATTCAGTTAGTTTAGCATTTAAATAATAAAACTCTGCTTCATTCTTTTATAACTTTTTTTTTCTAAATGAGAAATTGATAGCCGCATGAAGTTTACTTATTGATAATACTTTATAATTCCAAAAATAAATATTAATTAAAATGTATAAACTTTAAAATTAATAAAGCAAATTTGAGAGTCTTGGGGTCAAAATCGAAAAAGATATCCAGAAAGATCCCAATCATAAGTCAGAAGCCCTTCTAGCTATATGAATTCATAATATAGAATTCAGGTCTAAAATGACACCTGATACTCAATTTCGTTATCAATTCTCCTTGCTATAAAATTTGAGCTTCGAAATCTAAAATCAACCAAATTGATATAACCTTTCTAGCGTGATTTTAAACCCGCCAAAGATATCAAAAAAATATATCATTCTATTTGCCTTTAAGATGAGGCGAGATTGACAAGAACCAAAAGTTCGAAGCTAAGCTCGTGAAGACTTTGCAAACCTTCTATGTATACTAATATTTATGCTATACTGCTTACCTTTGGGAGTAGACTCAAATATTGAGAAACGAAGTGACGAAATATTCGAGGTTACGACCTTGTCAAGCCTAAAATGCATACTAATTTATGAGATATCTTAGAATTAATTCTAAAAAGGATTCATTATCATCTAGAAAAGTAAAAAAATTACACCTAAGCTCGTCTTAGGTGTAAATTTTTTATATGTGTACAAGAAAGTTAAAAAGCTATAGAACATATTCTAGCATACAAATATTTTCTCGATATATAGAAAATCATTCTTGAACTATTTCAATCTCAACTAGTTAGGGTCAAAAAGTCTAACCTTAGGTATAAAAAAATATGGGATGGGTGTAAATTTTTCAGGCCAGGTGTAAAATAAATTTGGGATAGGTGTAAAAAAAAAAAAAATAGGTCAGGTAAAAATTTTTCTCACTATAGTTTGAAGTAAGTTAGCTTATTTAACTTCTTGATAAGTACCCAAAGCCTTAATCCGTAGCCTATTAATATACTGGGTTACATAATAACTATTAGCATGCTTTTTACAAAGGCCAGGTTCAGAGCTAGTTGGCTTACTATAAACCTTGCAATTTTTTCTTATAAATTTGAAAAAAGATAAGATACTTTATTTTCTGGCTTCGAATTAATGAGAAGGCAGGGATAAAAAATATATACATCTGAAATAATTATTTATTTTTGAACTAAAGTTTTTGTACTATTAATATAAACATCATAAAATATACATATATATCAAAATGATATCACCATGTCCCAGATGTGGTAAAGATAACTTTAAAAAGTCTCGTGATCGAACTGCACACTTAAAAAGAAAATTTCCCTGTCGAAAAAGAAAGCCTCATCATAGACTGGAAGTAATTATTCCAGAACCTATCCCAAAGACTGTTAACCCTCCAGTGAATATGATCAATGAGAATATTCACGATCCAGAAGCGGGTCCTGGTCCAGCTATCCAAACACATAGAGATGAATAAAGAAATTCAAGAACACCATTTTCTAATCCTATACTTGACCAAGCTATCATCCCATGGGAACCTCCATCTCGTATAAATATAGAGCAGTTTAAAATAGTATTTGTAGATCCAAGTGGTAGAAAATTTATTACTAATGAAGAGGCTGAAAAATGGGATCAGAAACAATATGATCCTGATGAAGTTAGGCTTCCAACATTAGATGAGATAAAAGAAAAAGAAAAAAAGAATAGGCAGGAGTATATAGAGAACCTTCCACCTGCTAGAAGATAAGAATACGAATTAGAAAAGGAATATGCTTCTGGAAAATATTTCAGATCGATTTATAAAGAGGATGATGATGAAATAGAGGTTGAGCCTTCTGAAGGGGATATAGTATTCTTAGAAAAGCAACGTGATCCTGACAGACAACACAGCTCTTTAAAAGATTTGACTGTATGGGAAGGAATCATTCCTTCATGCAAAAATCCTGCATATGCTTTTAATAAAAAATAGGATAATTCAAAAGAATATGCAGATACTCCATACATGTCACATCTTATAGCATCAGTCCATAAAGCAATTATAAAGGTTCTCTAAGAAGAGCTATACAGAAAGGATCAAATAAAATCAGCATTAGTCATACATGCCATATATGCAAAATATACTTATAAAGGTTCTGGTGATATTTCAGACCCAGCAAACTATAAAATCAGTTATCATCATCCATATCATAGAAGCTCAATATGTGAAATTCTTTCTGAGAAATATATAGATGAGCATATAACTCTTTCTGAAGGAGAAATCAATAAAAAGATCGAATCATATCTAAAAGAAGAATCCGGCAAGATCCTTCTCAGAATTGAGATAATATTGATTGAGTCTTATACTCTTCGCTGTGCTTATGAAGGATCATACATCTCCACTCCTGAAAAGCTCGCCAATAAAAAATGTACTATCAATCCTAATAATTCAGATATTATCAATCCAGCTACAGGCAATCCAACAGATAATTGTCTTTGGGGAGTATTAGGTTGCTATTTCGCATATCAGGATGGAAAAACAGACTATCTTGGCAGACGTATATACTGGGTAAAAAGTTTTCGAAAATATTTGAAGAAGATCAAACTAGATGGTATCCTAATGCCTATACCTGTCTGCCCACGAATATTTAATAAGATAGAGGAGATGAATCCAGATATCTCTATTAATGTTTGGGAGTGGAATGAAAAAACAGCACAGCCCAAACCTGTAATTGCTAGCAAGAACTTTAAAAGACAACACATTATCTATCTTATGGCTCTTATAGATATTACTAAATCTAAGGAAGACAAGTATAGACAAAAGAATCACTTTCTCTGGATTAAGAATAAGAATGGATTAGTTTTCAATGATACAGCTCATCATGGTGAAAAACATCTATGCAACGGATGCTTTCGAAGCTGACCTTCAAAAAATGCTTTAGAATATCATCTAAGTTCATGTCCAGGATTAGGCGAAGCTCCCTAATTAGTCACATTACTTATAAAGGATGTTAATGATTTCGAGGAGTTCAAGAATTATGGGAGAATGATTAATGTCCCATATGTTATTGAAGCAGACTTCGAGGCAGATAATAAGAAGTGGGACTATTCAGGAAGGATAATGAAACTAAAACCATTTCCAGCATATGGAGGTAACATGCGTAAGCTTATAGAGCAAAAGGCTAATAGTTTCTGCTATAATGTTCATTGGATTGATTCAGGAGAGACATGGGGACCATTCTTATATCGTGGAGAAAATGCCACTCAAGAATTCATTCGACAGATTGATCAGGAGTTGGTAGAAATCAATAGGGTCTTAGCTATCAAGCATGAGCAAATTATTACAGATGAGGATAAAAAAAAGTTTGAGGAAGCAGACAAGTATTAGATCTGCAAAAGTAAATTTGCTATAGATAGAGATAAGGTTAAGTGCTTAGAAAATCAGTCTGCTTGACTCACTAGAAAGTTAAAAAAGACTGCTAAGGATTCTGAAGACTGTAAATCCTTAAAATTAGCTATTCTTAAAGTAGCTAAACAACTCGATATAGCAGAGACTATGGATGATAAAGTCTGGGAACATTGTCACATTACAGGTAAGTTTCGTAGGGTCTCTCACAAGTCCTGCAATCTTAAACTCCAGATCAAGCCATGGAAGACTCCAATTCCAGTAGTTTTTCACAACTTCTGGAGCTATGACTCCCACTTAGTCTGTGAATCTGTTGGGCATTCAGTTAATGTGCATCAGATTAGTGTCATTGCTGAGACATTTGAGCAATATAAATCCATGAAGGTAGGTCAGCTCAAATATATTGATAGCCAACAGTTTATGAATACTAGCTTGTCAAATCTTGCAAAGAATTTAAGTAATAATAAGCCTATAACAAGTAAGCATTTTGAGGATAAAAGCTTTACACCTGAGCAGATTTTTCTAATATGTCGTAAGGGAGTATACCCCTATAAGTATATAGATTCACAGGATAGATTCTCAGAGACAGAACTCCCTCCTATTCACGAATTTCATGGGATTCTTAGTGGTAAAATTACCCAAGAGGATTATCTCCATGCCCAGAAAGTGTGGAAGGAATTTGGATGTAAAAATCTAGGCGAGTACCATGATCTTTATCTTAAGACAGATGTACTCCTTCTTACAGATATCTGGACCGCATTCTGAAAGACATCTATGAAATATTATGAGCTTGATCCCAGTCATTATGTATCTGCACCATCCTTATCCTGGGATGCTATGCTTAAGATGACAGGGGTTAAGATTGAGTTATTCACAGAAATGGCTATGCATGACTTTATAGAAAAGGCCAAACGTGGTAGTATAGCTATGGCTGTGTATTGATATTTCAAAGCCAATAATCCGAAGATGGGAGAGGCTTTCGATCCATCCCAACCCACGACTTGGATCTCATATATCAATACAAACAATCTTTATGGTTGGGCCATGAGTCAATTCTTGCTTATAGGTGGCTATAAGTAGGTAGCTAGTTGGGAGTACTTAAGGAAGAATCCTGCCATGCAAAAGAAATACCTCGAAATAATTCTAAAAACTAAGGCAAATGCGTCACGAGGATATTTCTTAAATATCAATGCACACTTTCCTCTAAAGACCCACAACTATTTATAGGACTTACCTCCAGCCGTAAAAAATATTGCTGTAGGAAAAGATATGTTATGCCCATATAATACTGAGCTTGTGAATAATATGGATGGTGGACGCTTCTCTGCAACAGAAAAATTAGTTTCACATTTTGGTCCGCGAAAAGGCTATGTCATTCACTATCAAGAGCTCCAATATTATGTAAAACTAGGTATGGTAGTGGATGAAGTTACAGAAATCTTATCTTTTGACCAGACTAACTGGTTAGCCCCATATATTGCAAAAATACCAAGTTATATCAGAATGCAAAGAATGCTTTTGAGAAGGACTTCTTCAAGCTCATGAACAACTCGGTATATGGCAAGACTATGGAAAATGTTCACAAATACTAGGATATCAAGATCATGGCCATGAATAATAAGAGGGATGAGAAGAAATTCCTTAATAAAGTTCGTAAACCCACATTCAAGTATGGTCGCCTATTGGTCCTACATTAGTAGGTGCACATATGGGAAAGGCTAGCATAACTCTCAATAAGCCCATCATAGTCAGAGCATCAGTCTTAGGTCTTAGCAAACTCTTAATATACTGCTTCTAGTATGACTATGTTAAAGATAAATATGGGGATAAGGCTAAGCTCGGATATATGGATACAGACTCTTTCATATTCCAAGTTGAGACTGAAGATATCTATAAAGATATGGCTGAACGACCAGATCTCTTTGCTCTTAATGGAGATGTAACTATTGGCAAGTTTAAGGATGAGACTCCTGACAATATAATCACTGAGTTTATATATATCTGAGCCAAGTCTTACCACTAATTCTTAGCAAATAAGACCACGAATTCTAGACATAAGGGGTTAGTAAAAAAGGTATGGGCGAGATAGCAACTGATACATACTTCCCATTCTTAGGAGAAACTTTGCTAGATGATCCAGTAGACCAATCTGAAGTTTTCAATCCTATGACCTAAGTATATCGGGACTGTCTCTTTGGTAAGAAAGTATTCTATGCAAAGAATGTAGGTATCCGATCAAAGGATCACATATTATTTCTGATCGAATCTGAGAAGAAGGCTCTCTGTCCTATAGATACTAAGCGCTAGATATTAACAGACAGGATAACTACTTTACCATATGGGCATTGGCGCAATATGATTTATAAGAATATGGTCAAAAATGATATACCTCATGAAGAGGTCGAAAAAAGAGCTATGAGGGCCAAGCTCTCAGAGAAATACCAAAACGAATGTGTATCTCATATATCTAGCTTTCAGCTATAAGTTAGATAATGATGTATAGTCAGATCACATACATTATTATATTAGATTTTTTTTCTGGCGTGATAAATATTCAGTTATTTTTTTCCAGATTATAAAAAATGCCTTCTAAAAAATATCGAACATATTATTCAGAAAAAGAAAAGGATTATACTATTCAAGATATTAAAGAGAACATTATAGCGTTAGAACGTGATATAACTAAAATACATCAAAATCTTAAAAGCATTAGCCGAGAAATCTATTATCTATATGATGCTATGAGAGAATCATCTGAGTCCAGTACATCCAAGTTTAGTTCAGCTGAAGAAGCTTATACAATAGAGGAGGAACCCAGGGAATCAGTTTTTACGCCACTTAACAAAGTAATACAGGTGAATAAAAAATCTGATAATAAGAAGGTGAAATGTAAAAGATATCCATCCCGTTCTGTTACCGTTAAATCAACTAATTATTGAATCAGCTAAATTATCTAGTAATGGATAAGAAATCTAGAAATAATCAATGCAAGACTGCGGGTAAGTTCACTACTAATCCTACGCAGTATTTGCCATTAATAATATTTTTTCGATTAAAGATATAGGCTCATATAGTAAAGTATGAAATTTAATATCAATTTGCACAATATGGAAAGTTTAGATGAAATTATAGAAAATGCAAATAAAAATATTAAAAAGGTG